GACAATCTCCAAAACATGAAGACAAAAGGGCAAGAACGTAGTACTTGCAAGAATGATAACAGTAATTTGGAAAATAAAACTTAACTTCACAATCTTTTTTTTCCACTTGCGTTCACATTTTATTCTTTCCTATAACTGCAGTTTTTTCTAGTATGGCTCAATCATTGTTTTCCTGCACTCATAATTATTATGTACACACTTGCCTACATTCTCGAGTGCCTTTAGTGCTGTGATGGGATTATCTATCCCTGGACATGCCGACAATATGCAAACCAGAGAGATCAGGACTGAAGTAGGTCAACGAAGATGTATATTTACATTTTTGGTGAGTTTTTCATTTAGCAAATGATAAATGAATTGAAGTTACCCGTGACATGTTTATATTTTTACAACGTTAGTATAAATTGAGACATGACCTTTCTTTAGTAAGGGAGACCAACTAGGTATATGAATCGAATTATGTGTTGTCTTAAAAAATATAGTATAGCAGCATTGTATATGATAATGCTATGATACAGGGTGTCCATGAAGGTATAATAATTATTATTAGATAGCGCTTAAAGCTAGGTCGATAACAGTACACACATACACTTGGTGGTATGAAAATGTGATTGTAAGAGTCTCATCGCTAGAAAATTCACACGCCAATCATGGTGTTGGTGACATACTTAAGATCAGATTTAAGAGTCGCAGGTGTTTGGCCAACATTGGATGCGATTGCTTCGAATGCTTCTGTTACATGCTGCTGAACATCACTCAGCTTAGACATGGTCGTTATCACCAATTGTTAATCCACTGCTAGGATGATTTGCTGTCCGTGCTATTGCCGTCCCACGCGATTTTTCAATGTATCGATCTAACCCACTCACACTAATGAGCTGGTCTCATCACTATCTCTGTGGTAGGGGTGGTCATCCTCTCTGTCGTATGTTCTCCATTGACTGCCATTCCATCATCATCATCATCAGTCTCATCTGATCAATGTGTCCCTCTGCCTGCCCCCCCGTTTAATCTAAGAATGCATTTTCCCATATTTCATTTTCGTACTTCTCAATATTTCCATTTTGTTTGTTCGTGTCCACGTTTCTGATTCATATGTTACGGTGGATGAAAACTTTCTTCTTTAAGCACACTGATATCTTTAACTTTTTACGAACAAATTCAGTTTCCCCCAAGTGTTACATCCTGTCCTCATTCACCTCTTCTGTCCAGAAGTTCATCTCAATCGGTTTTATTTAATTTTGTTTCTCAAACTTGTTGTATGTGACTTTTGGTTCACTCATTTATCTTGACCCCTAAATGTGTAGCCCCGTTTGTTAGGCCCTTCAGTAATTTCCCGTAGTCCATTTTCATTGGTGCTTCTAATCGCTATGTTTTCATCAGATCTAAGATGATTAATCCTCTCTCCATTCATATTTATGCCTTTATTTCCTCAAACCATTGTTCAGAAAATATTGCAAAGTTGCTGTGAGTAGCCTAGATGAGAGTGTATCTTCTTGTCTGACTCCTGGTTTGTAATTCGTTACATTATTTGTGTAATCTGAGTGTGGCTGTTCCATATTTATATGATAAATGGTTTTGGTAGTATGTATTAATTAACCCATTGATTTGTGATAGCTTATACGATTGTGTTATTTCCTACTGAATCAAATGCCCTTTGAATAATCCATAAATACCAAGAATAATGATGTTTAACATGGTATAAAATGTCATTAAAAATACTAATATCAAAGGTTACTTAAGCTTTTCAGTAAAAACAACCTTAAATATAAAACGAAAATGTTGTCAACATTTCAACCTCGTCGTCCGAACTGCAGTCTAACGATAATTATGAATAACTGATGATACCTCCGTCGACACATTATGTATGAACATCACATCAAAGGAATGAAAATATTTCCTAAGGCAATAATCTGCCGCAATAAGCGAGTACAACGACAAATTCACTAATCGTGATATAATTGTCACCAACACACACTGAAAGCTATTGTTCACAACTAGTTTTGTTATTTTTCAGACAAATGTTTTTTGTTGTCTTGTACTCCCAATGGTAATACAAAAATTATGATGAGAGTGAGAATTAATGTTCATATTGTAACGTCAGTAAAAATGTAACACAAATACCTCGTGTTAAGTAACGTAAACACATACGTGTTTCAATTCTGTTCGTTACAGATTAAGGAGGACATATTTCGTGGCGCAGAGCAGTGTAAAACCATCATCAAATACAAAATTCATTGGCAAAGATAGTGTATATATGTACATATATATGTGTACATGTGCTGAAAGGTGCTGCTTTATCAATCCAAACGCAACTGTGGCTTTTAATAATGTAAGTACAGCAAAACACGCGATGGAACAAGAGCATCTCAGTCAGAAGGAGTGGGGGGGGAACGAATGGCACAACACAGGCATTCCTACACGTGCCTCGTTTGATGGAAAACACAAAGGCCACCACCGAGCAGGAGACTAGAACAAGGTAAAGCGAACATCAATAATACCGAACATCGTCTAGACTGCGTTCTGCTGGCTTGGAGGCGAACGCGAGCTCTTTCCAAGCAGATGGCTCTCTCACGCGCGCGCGTTTTACCAAAAGATGCGTGGCATACCGTCATGCTGACCCATTGTATAAGCCACATCTGGAGACCTTGTGGCCTACGCGAGATTCACGTGTAGATAAAAGTGATGAAAATAAAGATCAAAGGCGCGTTTTACAAAATAATGTCAAAAACTGTTTTCATCCCCAATTTAAAATCGTTGTACAGTATTATCTCAAAAGTAGAACCACATGGTCGTTTATTTATTTCCCAAATAATACGCCAATACTTTTTTTGGAAGCAATTATTTAACCTGATGTTCTGGATCGCACAGCGCATACATTCCCAACGAAGGTGTAGGTATGACGAGTGCCCCTGGCCCATTTGCGGTCTCCTGATTATCCACTATATCTGTCTGGCATCTCTATTTATGCGTTATGAGGAAGGGCCTTTGCCAAAAACGTCACCGAATATATGTTTTCCTTTTAAGGCCACAGTATTTCTTGACGAATGTGTCGACTTGTTCTGTGTATGGTGCTTAACGCAGCAGCAGCAGCAGCAACAACAGCCCCAAATAATTTGTTTTAATTCTGAGCCATTGAAAGATAATTTCCCACCAAAGGACTGCGAGTTCCGAGTGACAGAGTTGCCATTCTCCAGCATGTGCTCAAAACATTTGTGTTTGTGGATCAATGGGCCTGCGCTGGCAGCCTGGAATGTCTGCCACCAGCACACGTGGCAAGCATTCGCAAACTCTTTGACCACACAAGCTGTGCGCCCAACGATGTACGTTAAAGCCATCTTCTAAATACAATACTATAATCTATCTCGTTTTTTTCCCCGGTGAGATTGGGTTTTATTTGGTCCAAAGAAATTGGCATTCCAGAAATTATGACCTTAGGTATATGTTACTTCAGGAAAGTAGTTATATATATAAATCATAATACAAGCCTGAAAAAGATGTAGATTATGCACACACACACACAGCGCGATATGTTTTTCAATTGACACACCTGCCTCAAGTTTATAACTGCATGTATATACACTACAAGTCTACATTTTAAATGCTATCAACACCTTCCAGAATGATCTTGTCGATGGAATTTGGGGCTTTGGTTCCCTCAAGTATTCCTTTTCCACAACCGCCTCTCTTTTTGTATCTGTCCTCACCATCATCATCATCATCTGCCATGATCAATTTGCTGCTGGATTAAGGCTTCCCCATGTCTTTCAGTCACGGTGTAGGGGGGGGTTGCTTGACCATACTTCAGCACGTTTTTCAAAGCAGGTTGGTGAAGGAGGTGAACCAGGACCGGTTCAGGTATCACTCCCTGGCCAGGTCAGTGGGTCAGGTCACTCGGCCAGATCACTGGGTTCATAGCACAATGCGCTAACCACAGTGCCACCGATCTGCCCCATCATCACCACCATCTTTTATTGTGACTGTGTGTATATTTTAAGAATATCATTAATGGTCAGAGGGATGAAAGAAAAACGTGATATTTTATATACAGAGTGGTCCAGATAGCTTGTGACCTTTAATTCTCTGAAACTTCATTTGTTTCATTTATTGTTTATTTTAAATAGGAATGAATATGCAAAGGAAAAACATTTCAGGGGTCAATTAATGCGGGGATCAAGAGACACCTGGACCACCCTGTGCAGTATGCACAACTCCAATTGCACCTTGTCTCTCATACGGGCAAGGTCACTTTAAATCTGGCGCAGCTTACACCTGACGCCTATGGCTCATTTCGCATTAGAGTTGTCAATGAATTCCGTCATGCCACGGCGAAGGAAATGGATGTTACAGACCAGTTGAAGCCATGCGGCAGAACCTATGCAGTTGTGTTTACTGGAACAGCAAGCACCTTACGACTTTTCAAACAAAGTTTCAGGAGGTCTTAACAGTTTGATTTCAGTCGGATTTTGTTTTAGTATATTTCTAGAATTTCTAACAATGGATTAAAGTACTTAATGCAACAAGAGTGCGCAATATCAAATGGTCTTACTTACTTCAGATTTGAAAACCAATGTGCTATTTATATATGAATAGCAAATACGAAGCAAATTATATAAATACCATTAAACACAAGATGGCATACAGTATTACATCACCCGTTCTGATTTAATGCTGACTATATATTAAACATTTTCCATCTCAATGACTCTCTTTATGCTCATGATTAATTTGAGCAGACGCAAAGAAATGTATCTTTAAAAAAAACAGAGCAAAGTGTCTACAAATGTCGCTTGGCACCCCACGTGATGGAAGCTTCTTCAGAACCTGAGCTTCTCCAGTAGGTGTCCAAGCACGTGGGGCGAAACGTTGGACATCGTGCCGGAAAACGCCCGGTACAACCCGAAAACTCATCGGAGAGGCGTACAGCACAAGCGTGAAATTCTACGCAGTGGTATAACAACAACAACATGGCCAGGGATGTTATAGTTGTTGAAGCTCACCTTTAGCATTGACAGCGTGCAGGTGAATGCAGCACAGCACCAGCAGCAGCGCGTGAAGGTGATAGCTCATGGCGCGTCCTTGCGAATTCGAGGCTAAGCGGCGGCGGCGGTGGTGGTGGTGGTGGTCGTGCTGGTGACTGCCCAACTGCACGGCCAATCTGAGGTGGAAAGCATCGACGACAATCAACATCTTTGTGTGAAAGAGCAAATAAATCACCTTGGCTCTATGCAAACCAAATTACTCGCCAATTCGATGGAGGTGGCGGTGTGATAAGTAGTGTGTTTACTTATGCATACCAGAACAAATACAAAAGTGTGCATTGTGTGCGTTTTATTTACTTGTCCTGCCGTCTAAAGCGACACTCCTGTGTGTGTGTGTCTCCAGTGAGCTCCACACTAGTCTTCTGAATTGGGCTCCACGCACGGGCACGCTAATTAACTTTGATTATCCCACCTCACACTGGGGGCTATTGTCAGCTATTAGCGCGTGCTAATTTGCACGACAAATACCAGCATGCGAGCCCCTGAGGCAAGGTGTAAACCACACGTGCTCGCCGCACCAGTGACCCTTTAAGTTTCACCAGAACGGCCCAAGCAGGTGAATATTATACCGGCAATGGGAGTTAGCGAATAAGACATTCACCTTGGAGTCGTTTCGTTAAAGGAATCTGCACGGTCACACAGGTGTAGCGATAAGTCGGTGGTTGTTAACCCTGGGAGTACGAAACATGGACAGGTCTTTTGGAGGAGGTAAATCATCGAAAGACAAATTAATCACGGGCACGTAAGTACAACTACTTTGTTTCATCAACGCTATGTAATTATTAACCTTGTAAGTTTTGTTGTTGTTTTACGATTGATAACCAAAGGGGTGCAAGGCAGCAGTCAAAGATACACTGCTATAGGTGGTAACGTTCAATAGAATAGAGATACCTACACCTTCAATTCAATTTCCACCTGTTACAACGCCATTATACTCTTAGGCAATTGTCATTTGGCATGGCATCTGCACTCCACATCTACCGACGGGGCATTTTAACATTGCCCAGTAAGTAATACGAACACATGAAAATAGATTAAGACAAGCAATAGTGCACAAAGCACCCCCCCCATAATGAACAGAAAATATACCTTATCAGAAGAACATGGCAATGTGTGGACGTCTAGGTAAGAGCTTCAATTATAGATTCTAGCAGGAGTTAGTATTCAAGTGTTGCTTGCGTAACTGTAACGAACGGCACTCATCTTCGTAAGCGGTTCGTTTTACCTATGCGGATTACTGAATTTTATAATATCCTTCGATAGGCATGAGCTCGTGATATCATTTATAACATGTGTTTTTTTTTTACGACAGCTTAGACCGGTAGCAAACAAACAAACACAAAAAACATCTTACCTGTTCCGATAATCTGTCGGATTTTTTTTGTTCTGATGAGCGATGCTCGTTCCAAGAATCCAACACAGCTTATGTGTTCCTGGCGGCCGGTGGCGTCCACGAAAATTTCATTTCATTCAGTTCTTGAGCAACGTCCACAAGTCCCCTTTCCGTTTTCATGAGTGTTTTTTCAGTATGCACACGTCACTCTTAACACGAATAACAGTGCAAAAAAAAAGGCACAATTAATATTGCCCTTGAAATCAACTAGCGTAAAGAATGAAATTGTGTTCAACGGTTATCTATATACATGTTGAAAATAAATACCCAGCTAAGGCGTTCTTGAAGGCGTAAACCGAAAGAGTTCTACATTTCTAAGTTTAAAAAGTACTCTCCACTGGTCTCTCGCTAGTCCACTCCACGATCACTGCCTTAAAACGTCTCCGAAGTTCAGGGAATTCGAACGCAGCAAAAAAAGGAGTAAGAAAAAAAACACAGACGATCGAATATCCAGAAGAGCTCGAACGAAACACCGTTAAACAGTGTCCGATTCCCGTAAAAAAAAGTTCTGGCGGGACATACACCGCGACGGGAACTTATAGGCGGGCAAAGCTGAAATTATGAAAGGGTAACAGGAGTCTCCTTCAAGGCTTTCCCACTGTTGTGTGGAAAAAGTCTCGGAGCGTGGCAAGCGGTGTTAGCTCTCACGTCTATCTGCTTCTCACCCGGGGCCCGTCTCCAAGTCCTCCTCCCCCACACCCTGACTTAAGCCCTCACACCCACCCCTTCTTCCACCCCCACCACCACCCCCCATCTTTACAACACCCACTCACCCTCCCTCCCTCCATAGCCTGCATCTTTTACCTCCCTCGCTGTCTGCCTGCCTGCCCAGTCATCAATAAGAATGGATGGAGCTCCACGGTGTTGAGTTACAGATGGGGAGGTGTGATAAGCTTTCCTCTCCGCACGCTCCTCCAATCTTGGCAATTGGAAAGGAGGCAGGAACTCTCTTGCCTATTTTGCCGCAGTATAAACAAGCCGAGCTCGGCTCAAGTTAATGAAATAACAGCTGATGGCTGCTTTGGAACCTTGTGGCGCTGTTTCCCCAGTGCTTGTTAACATGAATTAGTTTAGCATCCTTACTTCCTCTGCATTTCAGTTGTATGTGAAGGAGTTTTGTATTTACCTTGTTAAAACAATGCAATGCAGACTTATATGGGCCGTCTGCCTTAGGAAGACATTACCACGCACAATCTGCACATTATACTCGTGCAGCTCTAACACACAACTAGTTTTAAAATGTCCTATGTTCGATGGTGTGATTGCATATGATCTGGAGTCTCTGGGTAGTATTGCACGGTGTCAAATACCACAACACTGCCCTTCATCGGGATAGCCTGCTAAGACGTGGTCTGCTGAAGCATGAAGTGTACAATCCAGGATATATGTAATGCAACATTTTTTTTTTAAAAAAGGTTAAATCCCATCATTTACACATTCATATTAATGTATGTGCAAAAATAATTTTTGAGACAATGACTGACCTTAGTTTAACATGTATGACCAGGGTTCTAACATCCATGGAGAGAGGCATATGGGTGACCAGATGGGAGGGTAACATTGGGTAGCTGTGAGCACGTTAGGCTGCACAGACAGGATTATATCAGTGTAGCGTGCTTGCTCGATATGTCGTGGATAGGATGCACGGGTTCATGCACGGATTGTTAGACACATTTTCAGACATCTAAGTGCATTGCACTTAAATTAATTGTTATTGGAATGAAGTTCAAATTTTAAGCTTCATGCTTAGAATTATAAAATTATGAATGTGTTGATACGATCACCACGTACAGTGATTAGTAATGTGTAGAAGAAAATACGTAATCCCTGGTTCATTTAATAAACTACCATACTTTTCAAACGCAAATGTGAAGCAAATTAAGCTTTTAATGTACAATTTCGCAATAAAAGAGTCAGTCACTAATTTGTTGTGGTTTTAAGCCAAACACTTGAAGTCAACGCGACAAGTTACACAATGCTCAATTTAATACATACAATTTAGTACATACAATTAAATAATATAATTTAATACATACAATTTAATACGTACAATTTAATACATAGAAAACAGATTTCGCCTTGTCAATATATCTTTGGGAAGTTTCAGTGCCATCTCATGGGGACAGCAGAATTATGTTTTCATTCCAAAAAAATGTACGTCTTATTATGAATATTATTTTTCATAGAACATCTCAAACACTTCCAAAATTACCAACAGCAACTAAGTACAATTCTAAACAATTGAGCGCGTAGGTTCTCGCAGGTACTCTTACTTCCAGTGTGGTTTCCAGGGAGGGCTATGTGTTGAGCATGTTTTTCAAATCAAGCTTTTGCCACGAACTACTGCAGACATCTTTCGGAATTGACGCCAGAAGGTGGCAACAAGTGGCCTGACCCAAAAAGTTTCAGTTTTCAGTTTCAGTTTCATTCATTTGGTATAGCCCTGTGAGCCATTCGGCTCTTGAATCGGGTGCAACCGCAACAAACAAAAAACAAAAACATGAACAAGAAAACATCTTAAAGTGACTATGTGACTGTGCAAACAGAAAATCCAGGAAAAAACAGCAAAATATTCCTGAAAAAGCACCGTACACCAACGCTGTGTGCAAAAATCTCAGTGGGATGCAAGTCAAACGACAACAACCACAAGACAACTTAGATTAAGGCCATCAGTCTAACTCCGTACTACAACAAACAAACATGGCCAAACCAAGAAACGTTTTCGACATCACCAAAATAAAGCCATAAAAGCAATGTAACAGTGATCATAGGAACTGTGACCGAATTTTCACAATAAACGACATAAACAACATGTAACACCAAACCCTAGAGCTATAGCTGGCTGCATGAGTCACTCCGCAACAACAGGAGCATCAGTCGGAGTATCAAAATTTTCAATGCACCTTTAAGATCAGCACACTAAATCAAAATACAGATAATACTTTGCAGCGTCATCCGGATCGAAACATTTTATTTTATTTTAGGCCACTGAATATCAGTGGCAGCTAGGGGTGTACAACTCCTCTAGAGCAGTTTTGAGTGAAGATCTCATAAGTAGTGATTCAAGTTGCAGTTTATTGGCAATAGCATTCCAGACCCTGGGGGCATCAATAGCAAAGGCCCTTCCTCCAGTTTTGGTACGGCAATAGGGAATGTGAAGCTGGTTCACACCACTGTTATTTTGCACACGTGGAATGAACACTGAAAACGCCGGAAAAAGTGGTTTCCATCAACACGTAAATCAAGCTTTCATATTACTGGACAAAAGCAAACTCCATATTCTGTTCATAAGTCTGAGCTCGGACGTGTTGCTTTTTTCAAGCGTGAGTATTGGGGCCTCGGTGCTTTTGTTGTTCCAAGCCAGACTGCCGAGAAGGCTCAAAGTGAGGGCAAGCTTCACAGTTATTCTCGGCCCCAGCTCCTGGAAGGGCCCTGCCGAGTGGAATGATGTGCCGAGGGTGCGCAAGCGAGCTGAGGTGCCAAGAGGGCTGGGAAGCAAAACCCAAGAAAAAAATATGTATTTTTTCCTAAATTCAGTTAAAGCGGTCATCTCTCTGTGGGCCAGCCATGCGCAGCTCCATGAATGAATGCCCTGAACAACGCTGTGAGGTAGTAGAATTCAGTAGCATTATGATGGGATACTATGTTGGTTTTCCTGTTTGCTTGGGAACTGTAAAGAAAAAAGTTTCAAAAGTAAATGTTTCCACCGTCACAGCCAAATCTGGTATTTCAACAACTAAATGTATAAAGTAATACTCCCACATTAGGGAGTTTTTTTTCTTGGCTCCATTGAGCTTAGAAAAAACCATGTACACAGATGCAAGTATGCAAATCTAGTGAGACAAGCTACACAAATAGCAATAAAATCCCAACATGTGACGGTCAACTTGCGGTATGAGTAAGCACGCAAAATGTACACAGATGTACACGTCACATTCATATGCCTGCAGATGCCTCAGATGCCCTCATTCGTATGATATATACACACACACACACGTGATTCGAAGACAACCAAGTCACTCTGAAAGCTGCCTGATCTCATTCGTACTCAGAAGCTGAGCACGGTTGAACACCAGGTCGGTGGTGCAGGCTTGGGCCCGGAAGGTAGCTAGAAGATGGCAGTAAAGCAATGCAGTATGTATTGAAATCCAACAGAAGTGGAGTTTTGAGCTTTACAGCCTCGTACGTATGGAGCTGGCCAGACATCTCAAGGCAGGATGCTTTCGAAAGAGAGTCATGAGACTCATTAAAGCTTTCCTGAGTAAATGAAGGACATTGTTATCACTACTACTACTACAGGAGTATATATGTCATACAAGCTGAAGCAAAAACATTGCCTGCATACGAGTAACAGATTACCAAGAACATGAATGGGTTCTCTTTGGAATGTCTGGCATAGCACTGTCACAGGGACTTGTTGAATTTCTAGATCACTGCAGTTTTTCATGTAGTTTTATTGGTGTCATAGATTTAAAGAAAAACACACAAACTATTCAATATCCGGCGTCAGCAGTTTTATATGCCAAAAAATGTCCAGCGCATTCACTCACGATATTCACAATAAACAATAGCGTAAAAATTCGTAACAATAAAAAATGAATAATGTAAGCCTTTTCGCAATCCACTTGTGGCTTATTAAGGCCTCGCTATGCAGTGTTCATCGTGGGGGTTATCTGACCATACTTTACCACTCTGTTCAGTGCAGGTTGGTTAAGGTGGTGGGGGGTGGGGGGAGATTGTGGAGACAATGATCCCCGTATAGCCTGTAACAGACTGTTGGAGCAAGTGCACGGCACACGAGCGGGTCGGTGGCCAGCACCACGCCCGGCCGGCTTTCCGCAGTGATGATGTTTGCACATCGCACTAGGTGCTAATTTGAGGCTGAGTCGACCTAGGGGAGGCCCAGAACCGATTCCGATATCCGTCACTGGTGTTGACCGTGGTCGGGAAACTCATAGCACAGAGCGCTAACCGCTACACTACCGGTTCAGATATCACTCGCCACCGATGTTAGCCAGGAATTTAAAAAAAACACACACATGAAGCTGGCTCCATTGCACAGTGCACGAATCACTCACTGTGCTCAAGTGTCAAGTTTGTCTTGTTTTACCAGATGACAACTCGAGAGACCACGATCGTCCCATGTGCAAGAGTAACCTGGGGCATTAGTCTGCCAGTAGGGGGTGAAGATTGCTGTGTGTAATCCCCATTGAGTCAATTGCCGGGTCATTTCAGAATTTGCCACATTTGAACCCTGACTGTGTCACTTCTCACGCCTAACATTACGTAATGCAATTAAGTAATTATACACGCCGTACATATGAAGAACACATGTAATTTATTGATGTGGTGTTACACTCCAACACACATAACACATGTATTATCAGGTACGGTACCTCTTAACTGGATTGCAGTATTGTTGTAGATGTATACGTCATGTTGAGACAAGAATGTAATGAAACACGCAAAAAAACAAGTTCACTCAACGAATTGAGTCATTTGCTGGAGGGAGGCAACTGCAGAACACACCAGAGTGTTGGCGAAAGGAGACTGGTGAAAGAATGGCAGCCAAAGGGTGGAAAATGCAAGAGAGGAAGACCGCAGCAGAGATGTATCAATGAGATCGACTCGTGAGCAGGAGCTAGATGTGGATCGCTACATTGGCGAACCAAGAAGGATGTTGACAACTTGG